GAAATATTATTATGTAATTGTAACTTTATTATTTTAAAAACTTCATTAAGTGTAATTTTAATAAATCAGTCAATTTTAACCTTCAGTATTATAGTAATGTAGTACCAACTGACTCTCATGTATATTTTACAGCATTAGTTGGGGGGTTTTTTTCCAAAAGAAAATTTGGCATGTACTGTACCTGATATATATCAAAAATAATCGAATCGAATCGAATCGCAAGCTTGTGAATGAGAATCGAATCGAATCGTGAAATTTGTGTCAAAACCCAGCCCTACTATACAATGAAGGTGAATAGGAACTAAAGCTGTCAAGTTCTAAAAATGGCACAAATCACCATGAAAGTAGTCCAAATTACTATATTCCAATTCTTCTTAAACTTTAACTTTGTATGACAGACTATTTGGGTAGACTACTGTATGCCATTAATTTCCAGGCCATCTGTTATATTGCAAAAAGAGGTCAGCCCACAGACACAAGCGGTTGCAAGGAGAATCTGACAGTAGTTAGCATCCAAGTTGTTTATTAAAATCGTATGTAGTAATCTGTGAATAAATACGGTGTTTAAGAGCCTGACTAAAAAGTTGCTATTATAAACAGTCTAAAAAACTAGAACTGCTTAAGTACTAAATATAGTACCAACTCCATTCTTATAGGGATTTTTTTCATATTTATTTATAGTTTGTGTAGTTTATTTTATAGTTTTTCATTTTCAGTACACAGCAAATATAATATATACACAAGATTACAGTTTTGAAAGATGCAGGCATTGTTTCTGAATGTCTAAAGTCAGGATAACGTGTCAAATTAATAAACATTTGTAAACCTGGCTAGTCTATTCACAATGACAGCGGCCAAACTACAATATTAAACATATATGTAACAACTGCATGTAAACAATATGATTTACACATAATCCATCAGAAACACTCGCATAAACTGCAATTAAAAAAAAACCCGTCTCTACCTGCTCCTGACAGCGATTGGCTGCCGCCTGGTGTTTTTCACTTGACATTTGCATGAAGTTGAGCATTTCCAAACTTTTTGTCACAGCAACCTTAAATATATTTTCCCACATTTTTCACACTTTGATTAATTGAAACATACAGTGTGAATCAAATGAACTCATTCATTCTATTCAACAAATAAAATGATTATTAAGAGTGAGAAATAAATAAATAAACATTGCACGTGGATATTTCCATGAATAGCTCAAATGAGCGTTCTGCATTAGGTGAAAAGGCCATGTCCACTGGATGACTGGATTTTACCCATAAAATTTCACAGGGCAATGGTAAATGTGACTGCAGCTTTACACTAATGGATTATAATGGTTTCTTTTGCTCCTGTAGGAAAGTTGTACTGCAAACTCCACTTTGCACAAAGGAAACCCTTAGTGAAGAATGGGAGGACACAAATTCTACACACGGTAAAAACTCATTTATGCTTCATCTGTTGATAGTTGTCTTACAGCACACCTTTATTAATATTCTTTTATTCAGATGTGTAATGCCGACTCTCACAACGGGTCCAGCTGGAGTCCAGAGGGACGTGAGCATCATCTCCAGGAAGAGTCTCCAGGTATCCTGTCCTCACTGAAGAGAAGCCTGCACTGGCCGCTGCATGTGTGTGCTGTGCCTCATCGTGTGTTTAACTGGCTGCATGGTAAAGCGTGGGCCACAGGAGTCCACCTGAGGGATAATGCCGAGGATTACGCCTTCCTGTATGAACTGCTCAGTGTGAGTCTGCCTCTGCTCGCTGTTCTCCATGAACAGCTCGTCCAAATGTACGCAGAGGCCGGACCTCTCAATCTACAGCCTCTGCAGCACTGGCTGGAAGAGCACATGGGCCACTGGGTCTTAGTGTGAGAGAAACATCATCAGGTCCCTTTAAAAGGGTTAATATGTAGTTGAAAATGATTGTGGATATTTATTCAAAACTGAAAAACACATAGAACAACCTTGAGATAGAAAGTAGCAGATGTTACTTTTTCAGAGAGTAGAAATGAAATGGCCTGGTTGGGATTGTGCACAAAATACCAAAGCCTTCCTCAGTTATAAAGATTTGAGTAAAGAGAAAAAAAAGTGTCAAACACGGAGTGAACTTTAAGCACTTTAATGAGTGAGCTGCCTTCATATGCACGATTAAGAGTGACGTTCTGCTTTTAATTATTAATGAACGTTCTTTGTTGAGACTACAAGTTTACAAAACCTGACCGATCAAGCTGCAAACACGTCTCGTCTACTCTGTTAGCCATTCAGGAACATGGAAGTCACATTCTTCTCGCACGTTTACACTTCTTATGAAAAACATACAGCATGGCTGTTAAAAGGAACGTTCCGGGTTCAACACAAGCTAATCTATTGATAGCATCTGTGAAAAATGTTGTCGACTACCACAAAAAATAACTGCATTTCATCCTTCATATTGTTAAAACAAACAAGAATTACAATGGAAGTCTATGGAACAAGATATTGCAGAGGGTTTTTAAAGCAGAAATGTGCATCTCATATTTCTATCAAAGTGCCTGTAGTAATTCATCAGAACAAAAGGGTGTTATCTGAGCTTTAAAATGGACATTTTTAGTGGTTTTAACATACTAGTCTATTTTAACACAATGTGCTGTCTTGTGGGTGCACTTTCAAAACCGCGTGATCATTTTGTATTTTATTGTTAATTCCTGTATATTGTCTTGTTCTATAGGCTTCCATTGTAAGTGCATTACTGTAAATGTTGCTGGTTTATGCAATTATTTTCTGTGTTAATCTGTATATCACAGATGTGGGGCCTGTACCATGAAGCCGGTTTAGCTGGCTAGCCAGGTAAGTTTCAGTTTAGTTTGCACCAATCCTGGGTTTTAGGTACCATGAAAGTGGCTTGGCTTTTAGCGGCATTCATTGCCTTAGTAATTTACACTCAGGGGCGTAGATTACGCGGGGGACGCGGGGGACGTGTACCCCCCACTTTTAATATCACGTACATTCGTCCCCCGCACTTTTTCGGGCAAGTGTGTTCGCATAGAGGTTTTCAAGAGCCGGTGTGAATAAATATAGATTTAAATTCAAAGAGACAGTATAGTCGGTGCATGATCTGATGTTTTATTCGGACCCAGAATAAGGCGAGATGAACATCACGGAGCGCTAAACACTCGTGCAGTGTGTTTCATTCATACTCGTAGCCGGAGGGCGCTCTCGCACAGAAAGTCAGAAGCAGAAAGAGGAAATTCCTAACGTGGACAAAACCGTCCAGCGGTTGTTTTCAGAAAAAGAAACGTTTGGAAACATGAAGACTTTAAACATACGATTGCGACAATATGGTTTATTTGTGTTTGTCAAGTCATCTCCAGGTAATAAATAAAGTATATGAACAATGCAGTGCTAAGTACAAATATTTTTACAAGGCTATTTCAAATAACTGTTTTCTATTT